TCATAGAATCATAAAAGTGTTGGACTGGAAGGGACCTCAATAGGTCATCTCCTGCACTGAGGCAGGACTAAGTGTTATCTAGACTATCCCTGACAGCTATTTGTCTAACCTGTTCTTTAAAACCTCCAATGACGGAGAGTCCACAACCTCCTTAGATAATTTGTTCCAGTGCTTAACTACCCTCACAGTCAGGATAGTTTTCCTAATGTCCAACCTAAATTTCCCTTACTTCAATTGCAGTCCATTAGATCTTGTCCTGTCAATGGTTAAGGAGAACAATTTATCACCCTCCTCTTAATAAACCTTCCAAGGAAGAGTAAGAGTATCTTTCGATACAGACTCACTAACCTGCTAAGGTGGGCTTTAAACTAGGTTTAAGGGGGACAGGAAACAAAAGCCCATAGGTAAGTCCAAAACATGAACACCTAGGTGAAGGGTTGGAATCTTGGGGGAACATGGGATATGCAACATGGACAAAGGAGAGACAAGAGGGAATATAGAGGGGAAATCTGATAAACATCTTAGATGTCTGTGTACTAATGCAGGAAGTATGGGGAATAAACAAGAAGAACTAGAAATACTAGTGAATAATCACAAATATGGCATATGGCATCACAGAAACTTGGTGGGATAATTCACATGACTGGAATATTGGTACAGAAGGGTACTGCTTGTACAGGAAGGACAGGCAGGGAAAAAAGGAGGAGGTGGTGCCATGGATATCAGAGATGTATACAATTGCACTGAGGTTGAGATAGAAGTGGGAGACAGACCTGTTGAAAGTCTCTGGGTAAGGATAATAGTGGTAAAAAATCAAAGGTAAAATCATGGTAAGGATCTAATATAGACCACCAGCCCACAAAAAAAAAAAAAAAAAAAAAAAGAGGTGGATGAGACTTAAAAAAAACAAAACAACAACAACACACAATTAACAAAATCATCCAAAACACAGGACTTGGTAGGGCTATTGTACTGCTCATTACTCTGAAAAATCAGGCCCAAGGCATCTCAATTTGGGCACCCAAAATTAGTGGATACTTTTTACCTTAATCTCTCTGTGTCAGTTCCCCATCTGTAAAATTAGAATACCACTGCCACCTCATCTCAGAGGCGTTGTGGAAATTGATTAATTAATATTTGTGAAGCACTCAGATACTGCAATGATGAGCACTACAGAAAACCCCATGAGGAAATCAATAATTCTGTCTTCAGAGTAGGGTGTGAATAATAGTGTAATAAGGAAGGCCTAGAGCCACACACTGAATAATAAGCTGAAAAACAAAATATTTTAGAAGCTCTTCATGAAATGAGCACCATCCATCCTGTGCACTGAATAATGTAGATGTCCTGTGTAAAGAATAGTATGTGACCATATAATTAAAGATTGTATCATATTGCATACAAATAAGGGGCCAAATTAAGGTTGCACAGGCAACACGTTATATTAACGAATTTTATTATTTTGTTGAGAGGACCCATAAAAACCATGAATTGAAAAAACTGGCTTGAAGCAGGTATAGTCAAAGCAGTCACCATGTAAACTTCCACATAGAAAATACATATACATATATATACATACACACATATATACATATATATACATACACACACACACACACACACACACACACACACACACACACACACACACACACACACACACTCCTGCTATTCCAGTCTGAGACTTCTCTGAAAGCAGAAAAATACTAATTATGTTAAATTGTGAGGGGATTTTGTGGTATACAAGTGTCTATAAAGGAACCAGACAGACACCATGAAACTCATTGTCACTTATCTATGGCCAAATCTGAAACCAACTCTTCACAAATGAGCACATTAACCTACTGAGCCATCTGCCCCATTATGATGATTTAATACAAACATTTTATTTCCGAGTATCCGATTACCTAATTAAACTTGTCATCATTTTTGAGTGCCAACTCTAAACCTATTGTAAAAAGCTTTTAAAACTAAATAATCGTTTAATCCTGCTTTAGAATTGAAGATAAATTGTACTAATTCATTTTTTACAACAATTTATGATACTAAGCTACAAAGTATTGCCAGGAGGCAAAAAGAATAGTTACTTACCCTACTGCAACTGTGGTTCTTCAATATGTGTTGTTCACAAGTATTCCGCTTCGGGTTTGCAATGCACCCCATGCACTGGAGATCAGAATCTTTTGGCCAGCAGCGTCCACTGAGACGGATTCTGTGCCCTCACACCCCCCACAACTGAGGGCATAAAGAGCAAAGTGGAGATCAACTACCCCTTAGTTCCTTCACCAATAAGAAATCTAGGTGTTAACTAGATTCTGTAGTAGCAAGAAAGGGGGGTTGATTGGGGATTATATATGAGAACACATCTCAAAGAACCACAGTTACTGTAGGGTAAGTAACTGTTCTCTCGTCTTCAAGTGTTTGTCCATATGTATTTTACTTCTAGTGACTCACAAGCAGTCCTGGAGGTGGATGCTCAGGCAAGTGTGCCAGAACCTTTGTAGAAGTGGGGGCCAAGGCCAAAGTGCCCCCTCCCTCTTCGAGGCTGTCTGCTCCAGCAGTGAGACAGCTTCCCTCTCTTCTGGTGCCACAGCAGCCCCTGGTGGGTGAAAAGTGTAATTGCAGCATCTCCCCAGCAGAATCTATTATTTGCGGGGAGGACAGGGGGAATCTGCAGGGGACATGAATTCTGCACTTACATTTCTTTTGTTAAAAAGTGAGGCGGCCCGCAATTCCAGTGCCAGGGCTCAGAGTTTACTTAAATAATTAAGACAGCTCTGCCAAAGCGGGCATCTGACTTAGATGCCTCGACAAGGGAATAATGCCTTTAAAATGTATATAATGATTCCCAAGTAGCTGCCCTACAAATTTCAGAGATCAGTACATTCAAATAAGCCACAGAGGCTCAAATAGGGGTTCCATGAGGGAACATCTTCCACAGAAGGATGATGATGTTGAGATCTCAAGAAGAAGCTGGGTCTCTGACAGGGAGTCATGAGCGCAAAAGTCCTTGAGAAATCTTGTCACTATGGAGTGTGAGAAGAGTGATTGTGAAAATCAGAGCATGATATGCAGAGATTGCAGCTAAATGGACTTTCAGGAAACTAAATGCTAGGACTTTTTCCTTCAGAGATAATATGTAGTCTAGAACCTTTGGTACTGGAGCCTCAACTGGGTTCACATTGTCCTGGGCTGCCCACACAGAAAATTATTTCAAATTTTGCAGCACAGGTTTTTACGGTGGAGGCCTTCCTAAACACTGCTAATATTGTTAATCCAGTCAACATTCAGGCCATCAGATGTAGCAAGTGGGGTTCTAGAGGCAGTGTTTCAGAACCAAGGCCAGATACTATGTCCATACAGACAGGGAGATAGATGGGAGGTTCATTGGACAATCGGAGAAGGTCTGAGAGCCAGAACTGTCTCAGCTAATATGGGGTTATCAAGATCACGGTGTCTGTCACATCTAATTTGTATTATCCTGGGGAATCACCAGAACCAGAGGGAATGCACAGAGGAGGCTCTTAGACCACAGGAGGAGGAATGCATCATTAGGGATTTCATGTTCATGCTGCCCCTGGAACAGAAAATCTTGCAACTGGCAGTCTCTGCTAATTCAAATGGTCTATCGCCAGGTTCCCCCACACCTGGAAGATAGGGTGCAACATGGCGTCTCATAATGACCACATAAGGTTGGATACCAGATTCTTGCTTAGTAAGTCTGACATACTCTTGTTTATTCCTGGGAGGTGAAGGGCCAGCAGGGTTACCGAATAGAGTTGGCATCATTCGCAGAGTTTGATGGCTGCCTGACATAACCAGGATGAGCCTATGCCACCCTATTTATTGATGTAATGCATTGCTGACATATTGTTTGTCATGATCTGCAGTACTGAATTCCACCATGTTGTACAAGGGGCTCTGTATTGGAGGGGAGGGGTGAACATTAGTTCAGGGGGTCTTTTGATGTATTTCAGTCCAGTTTCAGGATTTTGGATGCAAGTTAAGCACTGAAAGAAATTTTAAAGACTTTCAGAGGGGCTTTTTTGAGGAAAAAGCTTGCTAGGGTTCTAGCCACTGGTAGTACACTGCTAGATTATGACTTGCTGCCACTGGCAGTAAGAAGGCACGGAAGGAGGGCCACTCCACCCTTTATGCCCTTTTATAGGCGCACAAGGCGACACAGACTGCGAACATGGTTCCAGCAGACACGGCTAACTAAAAAAAACCCAAACACCTGGCCTCATATGCATTGAATGCATGCACACCTAGAGTGGGATCCACATTGACACACACTGAAAGAAATTATGTCTGGAAACAGAAGTAATGTTACCAGTTGTTGAACTGACAATTTCATCAGATCAGAGGACTAGAATTGCCTAGGCCAAATTGGTGCTACCATGATCAGAACTTCCACATCTTGTCTGAGCTTCAAGACTCTTGGTATAAGGAGGATTGGCAGATAGGTACTCGTCCCCAGAGTCCACAAGATGAGGCAAGTTTCTCATTGAGAACTGGGACTTACGCCCCTCTGGAGCAGAAAGTGTGACACCTTGTGTTTGTCTCTGTGACAAATAGATTTATGATTTTGTGACCACACTTGTGAAAGTAGGTCTGGATGATGAAATCTTTATCCATCATTCCTGATCGCATGAGAACTGCTAGGCTGTTTTGTAATCCATGCAGGTGCAGAGCTACTAGGGTGATCTGATGACAAATACACCAGTTCCAAAGGCAAACAGCTTCCCCACTCTGCCCTTTTTGCCCTAGGTTGAGGAGGACAAATGGCACAGGTGTGGTTCCAATGAGTACTGCTGGCCAAAGATTCCATTCGAGTGAATGGAATGTATGTGCACGATAAGTGGAATATTTATGGGCACATATTCAAAGTATGGTACTTTCAGTGACAAACTGTCACAATATCCTTAAGATATACAGAAACTGGGGCAAAAGTACTAAGGGTGGGTGGGAAGGGGAGAATAGTCAAAGTATTGCTTCACCTTTTTGACAGTCTTTCCACACAATTTTTCTGGTTTTCTCATAATGTGTATTCAGCCAGGTAAGGAGGAGTCTTTCAGATGGAGAATATATATTACTGGATAAAGGCTCAGCATTTATTCTTGGCATGCTTTGCAGGCTTTCTGAGCTCAACAGATTACTGATAGTAAGTGATGATACACGTGCAAGGACCAACACCTGAAATCAGAAAATATATTTCATCTTTTTACTAAAAAGTATAATTACAATTCCAAGTAGAAAGAACAAAACACAAAAATACAATTATTTTTCAAACACTGAAAAACTTTCAGATTTGAAGCTATTTGGTAGATTCTAAATTAGCATAAAGGCATGTTGCATTATTGGGGCAGAGCTGCCAGTCTCCACCTTTTTAACAACGTTTCTTTATTGTTTTCAAGAATATCATTTACAAACAGTGAACAGCATGAAATTTAACCACCTCTTCAAAACACCAACAAAAAAAATCATGATGTATAAAAGCATGGGTATGAATTCAACCCAATGTGCTCCTAAAATTATGTAAATATAATATTAAGTCTTCCCTTCCATCTTCAAATGCACAGCAAATACACATGACATATTCACATGTATTTTCTTTGTCCAATTGCAGTTTACATTCAGCAGTGAAAAAACTATCTTTCCTAAAATCTACACTATTTTCTTTTGATATTTAGAAATGGATTCAGAATCTTGTCAATATTATCCAATTTATCCTCTATCCAAAAAACATTATTTTATGAGATCAATGTTTATATAAATAAACCTCCACTACTCTTTCAGTTCTGTACAGTTATCCTTTTAGCAATCATTAACATAGCAGAGATTGGTTCTGATTATGCTTTAGGGACTCTTAATTCCTGAATCAAATAAAATGCAAATGGGAGGTTCTAAACATATTTTGTTTCCAATTATTTTTCAATTATTTTTGATGATTTCATCAAAAATAATTTGACCTTTTTGCATTCCCAGAATGAGTCTGTAGAATCCAATAGCAGCTAAATTACCAATAAATATTGGAATTATTTTTTAATCCAAGTTTATAAATGCAAAGCCAATTTAATCCAGTGTTTGCAACATCTCCTTCATAGCTCATTTCATTTTTTCGGAGCCAGATTCACCGCCCAGTTTTTCTTAAAAATTCTCCTATTGACATTATTAAATACTTATATTATGGTAGCACCCAAACGTCCTTGCACACAGAGATTGACGTAGTTCCTGCCTCAAAGAGTTTGTAATCTAAAGCAAGCATCCTATAGACAATGGAGGAAGGGGCAATCAAATTTTTTCATAAACACATACTATTTTTTGTTTTGTGTTAATTATCTACTTTTCCCAAATATGTCTCAGCCTTGCAATCAGACATTGGTTACTGAACATCTGGGGAGGGAAGGTGCTTTCCAAGGATAAGTGGCAACTTGGGGAGGAGCACAGAAGTTGGTTGCTGAGGTTGGTATCATTGACAGAGTGAACAGGATGAGGGAGAATGTGGAAAGAGAGACCAGAATAAATAAGTAGCAAGTGTCAGAGCTGGGAAGAACACTGAAGGTTAAGATAAGAAGTTTGAATCTGATATGATGGAAGAGAAGTAGCAATGGGTTAAAATAGAGGAGTCGTGTTCAGACCCATGGGCAAAGAAGATGATCTTAGCAGGTGAGCTATGTATGAATGAGACCGGGACAACATAGATGCCATGAAGTCCAATAAGGAGGAAGTTACAGCGTTGAAGAGGGAGATGAGGACCTGGAAGGGACAGTTTTAGCTGTCTAGATGGAAAGAAAAGCTCAGATTTTAGAAATGTCATAGATGAAGTAGGAGCAAGATTTGTATAATGATAAAATGGAAGGAGCAAATCCCCAGAGCAGCCAGGAAGAGGTGCCCTACCAGCGAGTGGCCCCTGTGACAGGCCCTTTTCCTGCATTTAGTTATAAGGTACTTGTATAGCACTCTCATCGTAGTATCTCAGAGCCTCACAATCTTTAATGCATTATTTCAAAACATCCCTGTAAGGTAGAAAAGCACTGTTGTTCCCCTCTTACGGTTGGGGAACAGAGGTACATATGTCTATATGGGATGGAAAGCCAGGGTGAGAATCTACAGTGCACTAGCTTGCCACGCAGTAACAACATCCTGTGTGGACACTGCTACAGTGCACTAAAATTTCCGTAGGGGTCTTTTACATCGGCAGACAGTCAGGATCTGCAGAGCCTGTAGGAGGGGTCTTGTCATATAACTTATAAAAAGATCTGTGGTTTAAACTTTATATCTCTGGTCTCACGCCAGGTTCCTGAAGTACAGAGGCTGCAGCATACTCACAAGGAAGACACTCTTGGCTGCCTAACTGTGATAGAAAGCATGACAAGCATAGGGGACAGACATGATGGACTGTCCCTAAGTGAAACAAACATCACAGGAGGAACCCCAAGCCTCAGAAGGTCTTGACAGGGAGAACAGTATATAACTGTGTTTTAGCTGCCAATTTCGATGAGAGAAACCCATACTGGCAATGAGAATGGGAATGATGCTGGGCAGAGCATATTTGCTCAGATGAGGAAAAATTTAGTCAGCAATGAACCTGGAACTGAGAGAAGAGTTGGCATCAATCATGACACACTCAAGGTTTAAAAAAAAAACGTGAAGAGATATCCATGTCAAAGCACGTGTTAATTTTATCACTGATTATCCTAAGGATGCTGAGTACTTGATGTTTCAGAGTAGTGTTTACATGGCATCACACACTCCGAACTCTTCAAGACTGAAAACTGAAGTGCTTCTGGATATGCAGTGTGCTTTCTTCTTTCTTTAGGCACTTGGATAGAGAGTAAAAGGGCTGACAAGAACACCATCCATTCAGTTGTAGATGTAGTATTCAGGGAGGAATGCTTGACACCAAAGCACTCTCCAGGAAAAGCAGCTTTGTTTGATCAGAATGGAAATAACTCTGCCTTTCAGGGGCTGTTTATGCCCGGATATAGTATGCACAAGTGATTATTCGTTTTTAACAGACATTTTAGATGAACATTTCTTCAAAAACATGAACTCTTCATTTCAGAATCCAAGATGAAGAATTTTCTAGAATAGTAAGTCAACCAACCCCAACCACTCTACCTTTTTTAAATCAACAAAGCATTTTATGATTACTAATGTATAGGGCCCTACCAAATTCAGTCCATTTTGGTCAATCTTACATCTGAGGGTTTTAAAATCAGTCAATTTCACATTTTCAGATGTTTACGTCTGAAATTTCATAGTGTTGTAACTGTGGGGGTCCCAATCCAAAAGGCAGTCAGGGTGGGAAGACCACGAGGCTATTGTAGGGGGATTGTGGGACTGCCACACTTACTTCTGCCCTGCTGCTGGCAGGGTGCTACCTTCAGAACTGGGCAGCCAGAGAGGAAGGATGCTGGCCCAGCGCCCAACTCTAAAGCCAGGACCCCCACCAGACACAGTGCAAAAGTGAGGGTTGCAGGGTATGGCGGGTGGTTACCATATGTCTGGTTTTCCTGTGAGTCTCCAGCCCAAGTGGGGGGCTCACAGCTCCAGTCGCAGCCTTCCCATGCAGTGGGGTGGGGGATTTAACAGCTCCAGCTACCAAGCTTCCTGAAGCCAGGAGAGATCCTGGAGGTGGGTCTGATCCACCCCAGGAGCGGCCTCTGCAGGGGAACAGGAAGTCTTGTCCTTCCTCAGCCCCAGCCGGGATGAGCAGCTGGAGCCCTGCACAGGGTAGGAGCCCCTGGCTGCATACCAGATTTCACAGGGGAGATCGGATTTCATGATCCATGATGCATTTTTCACAGCTTTGAATTTGGTAGCTTTTGCACATTAGTAGGGCCCTAACTATATAATCTGTTGAAGTATACTATACTTTTAACTAATGCTCACATTATAAACAGACACCCTTTCTGCTTGCAAAATAGGAAACATTTACACATTTAAGTCCTCCCACTGTATTTAAGTCTGTTAGCAACCACATTTAATTGCATTAACAATTAATTGTACTCCAAAAATCGAAGCGACTGTGGATCCTTTAAACCACTGACCCTAAGGGTATGTCTATACCGCAAAAAAAAAAAAAAAAAAAAAAAAAAAAAAAATGATGTTCTTAACTCTGGTTAGCTAACTTAAGTTAAAATAGCAGTAAAGACATAGCAACTTGGATTAGCAGTTCAAATTTAACCTCAGGCTCCCCTGTAAACTTTAACTCCAGCTGCTAACCCAAGTTAAAAGCCAAGTTTCCACATTTTCACTGCTATTTTAATCCATGTTAGCTAACCCATGTTAAGAACACTTTTTTTTTTTTTTTTTTTTTTTTTTTTTACATAACCTAAAAGAAAAGAAATCTTGAACCTCCTAATATGTCAGCATTTCCAGATCCAAAACTGGCAGAAAAAATAAAATGAAATAAGTGGTGTGTGCATGCCTTCCTCTAAAGATAGTGTTTTGGCATGTTCATGCATATGTCTGAACACATGACCCTGTGCTAATGATCCTAGATTAGTGTAACTATAAATGGTTATAAAACATTTTTAAAGCATTATGTTTCATAGACTGTTACCAGTTAATACCAAATGAATTGGATAGTCAGTGTATATTTTTCGTGATTATCTAGGGGCAGAGATGTTATTTTTCATTTCTAATAGGCAGTAGTGAGTATGTTAAAACTGAAATACACTCCAAAAATAAAATTCTGAACACCACAAAAAAAAAAAAAAAAAAAGGTATGTCAAAGAACAACATATTTTTGGTGCAACAGGTTCCTGTTATTTTTTCTGGCATATCTATGTTTCAATATTGTGGGAGTAAGTCCTAAAATATTTAAGTCACAGGACCAGTAAAAAACTAAATAATATATTTTTTGTAGCTGTGAAGCTGAATAGGATTCATTCCTTTTTCTGTTAGCTACTGAAGAGAATGATATTTAACAACACCATGTTTTTTCCCTTTAACACCCTTGCAGCTTTTTGCTCTCATGTTGTCGTCGGGTTAAATTAATCTTCACAGTTTAGGGTCCAGCCTTTCCTCAGAACATGCCTGAACTCCATTACTGTCCTTTGGAATTACACATGCATATCTGGGAAATCATTTCCATGTCAAGAAATATGAGCATAATTTCAGCTACGGACCATGTAATTTACAAATTAAAAAAACCTGAAAATATATCTTAGCTAAGCAGATTAATTCTTTTGCCATTTGTTAAAACATTTGGGGTATTCGAAGGAAAGAATTATTCTATTCAATCTCACCTTGTTTGAAATCTTCCTGTAATATTTGCAAATATCATTTAAAAGCTTAGTACTATAAGATATTTCATGTCTGCAATGTACCTTGTATACCTGGAGTAGTACATCGGTCCATACACGTTTGCTCATGGTCTCGAATTCATTGTCATCCAAAACAAACAGACTCTTATTGTTAAAAATTTCAGAGTTCTTCATGTTAGCTTTTTGCAGCTCAGTCATCTGAACCTTCAGATAAAGGACAATGAGATTTATATTTTATCTTAAACTATGACATTTATAGGGTATGCTAACCGTGAGCAACAGCCACAACTGGCTTTTAAAAGTTTGTCAGGTAAACAATTGCTTTTTCTAATAGCATTACATAATTAGTGGATAAAGAAAAAGCAGTCCATGCAGTATATTAGAAATTTGCTAAAGGATATAATGCTGTTTCTCACAGAATCTTAGTTACAAAATTTTAGCTGCCTGCGGTGAGAACACGGTGGAGTGAAAACTCACTGGAGAACCAAAAGCAAAGCATAATGATAAACAGCAACGCACATCTAGTGTATTTCCACAGTGATAAGTGTTAGGACCATTAAACATCTTTATTAAAGCTCTGAAAGGGGGAGTAAACAAATACGAGGAGTGGCAAATACCAGTGAGTATAGGGAAGTAATACAAAGGTACCTAAAGGGATTAAAAACATGGAGAGAAATGAATGTATGATTTAACCTGAAAAAAATAAAAACTAACAGATTTAGGGAAAAAGAATCATACATACAGATATTAAATGGGAGGGAGAAACCTGAAAAGCAGCAATGCTGACAGAGACTTAGAAGTATACTTATTGCCTGTTTAATTTTGAATATAGCAGCAAAAAGAGTGACTACAAGTTTGGACTGAAAATGCCCAGGCATCACACCATAAACTGGGATGGATGGATGTGTAAATGCGGTCTGCTTGCATGTTTCTTGTGTGGCTCTCCTTGGAATGCCAAATTCATTCCTAGGCATCAGAAAGAGAGTGAGTGACAAAACTGGACTTAGTCTGGAAAAAAACTACGAAAGTATTAGGCAATGAGAGAGTGACTTATGGGGAAAGAACAGAAACATTTAATATTTATACTATTTGGCTAAGAGATAATAGTCTACAACAACATATTTGAAGCAAGGGTCACATTAGGGAAAAAACCATGATGGTTCTCTTCTAAACTCTACCTACAAAATAGGCTCCATCAATATATGAATCGCCAAAACAAGATACTGCTCCCAGTAGATTGTGCAGATGTTCAAAAATATTGTATTGCCACTTGGCTCCCTAGGCTACTTGAGCTTGACACCCCCTCAATCGGATTTAAATATGGCCATGAGCTCTGCTGGGTTCATTGGATTTATTTGCTTTTGGACTGGGGTCGGGTGGGAGGAAGGGGAAGAGCTATATCTCATAATCTGGTATTTGAGATGCTAAAATGAAACATCACTCTCGGTAAATTGTGCGGATCTGTGATTCTCTCTCTCCTTTCTACATGACAGATCAAATAGCTAACAATGCTGACATTTAAGTTCTCATAATTGGATATCTGAGTAATCACCTCACTGAGATGAATGGGGCAGGTCACACCTCTCAGGGCTCTCGGCAGATTCATCGCCGCATCATTAGACTTTGTTCATAATTTTGAAATTTCCTTTGCAACAATAATATCTAGAGACTTATTGTTTTTAAATTAATGCTGAGATCTGGAGAGCAAGACAACAGCTTCAGGGAGGTGCCTGAATGGCATATGGTTATGTAGTGGCTGTTTCTGAACCCTGTTTAGAAAGGTGTAAAGGGGAAGTCAGGAAGCAAATTAGCTAGGGTGACACACAGAAATTTAACTAGGAGCAATGGAATAAAATTAAGAAAGAAAATTTAGACTAAATACCAGGAAACACTTCCTGACATTGTGATTTTTTTAGGCTGTTGTGGGTTCTCAAAGGAAGTGGAAGAAGCATTGCTTGGGATATTTAAATCTAAGTGGGACAAAACATTAAACGTGCACACAAACTGCAAGCAACAATCTTGCATCAGCAGGCAATGGGCTGGATTATTTAACAAGCCCCTCTTCTCCATCACTCCTGTACTTCTACGAAGTAATTGCTCTCAGCATTTGCCTAGCCAAAAGTGTAACTTGCATTCGGTCTGTACTGTACAAGTCTTAGCTCCCGCTGTTTCCCTGAGTTCTTGTTTGACAGATTTCCCACTCTTCTTCTGCTCAGTAAATTTTACTCACTTTGTTCTACTGCTCTTCCCTACCACACACAACTCAAGTTTTGACTGTCAACCTCTATTGAAGTCTCCAGTTTTAAGGGTTTTCATGGCTATGTTCTTTACAAAAATATTAGGATGATGGCATCATAAGGTTGGCAAAATGTTCCAGATCAATCAAGTCTTCCAACCCACTGATTGGCAAGGGTTATATTTGAAACTAAGGTGACAAATTAAAACTTAATAAAAGGAAATACTTTTTCATACAACTGCAACAATTAGCCTGTGGAACTCATTGGAAAACAGAGGTAAAGAGCTTAGGAAGATACAAAAGGTGGTTAGATTGATTAACAAGAATATCGAGAATTATAACTGTAAATTTTTAAAAACATAAGTTTTGGAAGAGACATAAACCCTTGTGTTTCATGTCTTAAGTTTACCTTTAATTTTTGGGAACTAGAAGAAAACTTTTCCTAAGGGTAGGTCATCCTATAACTGTCTATTGCACGGTTTCTTGAAAATTCCTCTCAAACACTGGGAACTGGTCACTATGAGTAACAGGATATGAGACTAGAAGGGCCACTGGTCTGATCCAGTATGAGAATTACTATGTTCCTATTTTTTTACAAAGGAAATGTTTTAAAAAAAAATCTACTAAGTAGTTTTTAGAAAAGCACAGCTCCACCTCCTACACATGTGTGGGACTGATTGCACTAAATACCAAACTACAGCTCTGATCCTACTAAGGCTTATGCACATGCTTAATTTTACACACTGCAAATAATCTCACTCATTTCAGTGGGACTGCTCACAGTGCAAAAAGTTAAGCATGTACATAAGTCTTTGCAGGATAAAGGACCACGTATGTAGGCTATTTTAGAACAATTACCTTCAATGCAATTTGCAATCCAATCCATTTCTTATATTCATCAGGTTCAAGCAGAAATTCAGGCATAACATGAGGAAGGCATGCTCCTTGGCTTCTGAAATAATACAAAAACAAAAATAAGTAGACAGGAAAGATCATTTTTAAAGACAGCCCCTAATTTCACACCCACAGTTTTGTACAGGCTATCTAACTGTAGGTGAAAACCAATAGCTACAATCAACTTAGGGCACAAACAACAGAATGCAGACATCTGACCAAGTATGATTTGTATGTTCAGTCGCAGATATTCAGATTTTGAACTATCATTTACTACTGCAATTGATTGAGAGTATTAAATCAGAGGTGGGGTTGAGACCCAACAAGCATTGCTAGTTTTGAAAAAGCCTGTTTCTGGAAAAATGGCCAAAGAGCCTTAGAAGTCTTTTTGCCAATAGGCTTTGCATAACGGTTTTTTAGTTCCTATGAAAGGAGGTTACTTTTATAGATGATGTTCTTCAAGATGTGTAGTCCATATACATAGTCCACAGTTGGTGAGTGCACATCCAGTGTGCACTCATCAGACAACTTTCTGGTCAGCAATATCCACTAGGGCAGTGTATGTGCCCTTCCTCTCTTTGTGCGTTCCAGTGAGAATATAAACGGTGGAGCCTCCTTGTCACACCCTCCCCATTATGAGAGCCTGTGATGTCAAGACTCAAAAATAGTGGGGATGGAGGGTGGTTTGTGGAATATGTATAAGGCCTACACATCTCAAAGACCATCAGTTACTGTAAAGGTAAGTAACCTCTATTTCTTCTCCCAGTGCTACTCTGTATACATATTCCACTGTTGGTGACTCCCAAGCCCTCACTGGAGATGGATATCAGGAGTGTCTGTGAGTACGGACTGCAGCATGGACCTTCCAAATCTAGCATTGTCCCTGGTTGCTTGCACCAATGCATTGTGCTTCATAAACATCTGTATGAATGACCAAATTCCTGCGCTGCAAATGTCCTGGATTAGCAGTTTTGCTAGCGAGGCTACTGGGGTAAACTGAGCTCTGGTGGAGTGGACCATCACCCTGCCTGACACCTGCCTCCCCTAGCCAATAGCAAGTCTTGACCCATTGGACAATCCAGTTCTATAGCAAAAAGAACAGGAGTACTTGTGGCACCTTAGAGACTAACAAATTTATTTGAGCATAAGCTTTCGTGGGATACAGCCCACTTCATTGGATGCATAGAATGGAACATACAGTAAGAAGATATTTATACATACAGAGAACATGAAAAGGTGGAAGTAGCCATACCAATTGTAAGAGGCTAATTAATTAAGAGAAGCTATTAACAGCAGGGGAGAAAAACTTTTGAAGTGATAATCAAGATGGCCCATTTCGGACAGTTGACACGAAGGTATGAGGATACTTTAACATGGGGAAATAGATTCAATTAGTGTAATGACCGAGCCATTCCCAGTCTCTGTTCAAACCTAAGTTAATGTATCTAGTTTGCATATTAATTCAAGTTCGGCAGCTTCTCGTTGCAGTCTGTTTTTGAAGCTTTTCTGTTGCAAAATTGCCACCTTAACGTCTGTCACTGACTGATTAGAGAGGTTGAAGTGTTCTCCTACTGGTTTTTGAATGTTATGATTCCTGATGTCAGATTTGTGTCCGTTTATATAGCATATAGTCCGTTCTATAGTATTTGTGTAGACACAGCCTGCCCTTTGATTGTCTCTATGTAAGACAGGAACAACCTGGTAGACTTCTTGAAGGATTTCATCCTGTCAAAGCAGAACAATCTAGCTCTGCACACCTCCAGCATGTTCAACGTTTGCTCTGCTCTCCCAGCATGAGGCATTGAGAAGAATATAGGTAGGTAGATTACCTCAATGACATAAAATTTGGACACCATCTTAGAAAGAAGTCTGGCAGGTGTCCTCATGGATACTCTGTCCTTGTATATGACTGTATAGGGTGGCTCTGCCATTAATGCTTACAGCTCCCCAATTCTCCTGGTCGATGTGAATGACAAGAGAAAGGCAGCGGACCTGAAGAGATAGGGCAGGGAGCATATACCAATACACTCAAAGGGAGTCTCCATCAGTTTTGAGAGGACCAGGTTAAGGTCCCATGATAGGCCTGGATCCCTGACTGGCAGATAGAGTCTCTAGAGGATTTGCAGGAACCTCTTTGCCAAAGGTGTGAGAAAATTGAGTATATAGTCTAGTTGGTGGATGGATAGCTGAAATAGCCATAACAAGCCCAACGAAAGAGCAGAGTGCTTCTGTTGCAACAAGTAATCAAAAATCTCTTGGTCCCCAGAATTCATGGGGGACAGCTGGTGTTGTCATGATCAATTTGCAAACCTTGTCCATTCAGAGAGATAGTTATACCTACTGGAATCTTCCCTACTACTAAAAAGAGCACCTTCTGGAGGTCTCACTAACAGAATCTCTCCACCAGTGTTAACCAGGGAGCATCCATACCATCTGGTGGAGTGAACTCATGCTCAGATGCAAGGTCAAGCCCCTGATTCCAAGCCAGGGGTTCAGAAACAAGGGGTAGAGTGATCCGCTGCACTATAGAGAGGTCATGGAGGTCCCTGAATCACATCTGTTTTGACCAGAGTTTGGCTACGAAGATTACTCTGGCCTTCTCCACCTGACCTTCCAAAATACTTCAGGGAAGAGGGGGATGAGAGGGAATACATACAATAGTTCCTCTGTCTGTGGGAGGAGAAAGGCAGCTGAAAGAGGGCACCCTCCCTGAGCAGCAGTGGTGACCTATGTTGTTCTGCACTGTCATGAAAAGGTCCATGTGCGGGACTCCCCCATTGCTGGAAGATATCACTGAGGGCCCTCTGGTGCATCAACCACTCATGATTGTTACAGAAGTACCTGCTGAAGCCAGCTGCTGTCATGTCATCCACCCTGAGGAGATGGACCATTGACAGTGTAATTCCATGACCTGTGGCAAGATCCCATAGTAGGACGGCCTCCTGACATACTGCCAGCACCTGTCCCTCCCCACCTCGCCTTTATAGACAGAAGACCGCCACCGTATTGTCCATGACCAGGATTGTGTGGAAGGAAGGCCATGCAGATCTTGTATACAGCTCTGAGCTCTAGAACACTAACATGCAAGATAGTCTCTGTAAGAGACTATATGCCTTGTGCTATGAGATCCCCCACCTGAATGTGGTCCTTCAGGGCAAACTGGGACTGTACAGAACCCATTTGTATATGTTGCCTGGGTCCTTACACCAGTCCAGTGACTGGAGGACTGCTGGAGGGAAACATACCACCTTGCACAGGTAGTGTCTTCTTGGATGGTATAGCCAAGCCTGAAGCTATTGGTAGTGGAGCCTCGTAAGTGGAGTGATGAATGTACAACCTGACAAGACCCAGTAGCATGAGGCAGGATCTTACTTGTGTTTCAGGGTAGGACTGCAGGCGGGAGCAGAGATTGTACAACTGGAACTTGCTGAGTGGTAAGTAGGCTTTCATTGCCTCTATGTTGAACATGGCCCCGGCAAATTCTATCTTCTACGTGGGGGCTAACATGGATTTCTTCTCATTTGCTAGCAGACCCAGGCATGCAGATGGCTTGGGAAAGGTCCTAACATTGGTTTGGACCTGAGGTTCCAAATGACTCATAACCAGTCAAGTTCAGGAACACCTGGATGCCCATCCTCCTGATTAAAGCGGGCCACTGCGTAGAACCCAAAAGGGAAAATCCAGTATAGGTAGTGATTGTTGTCCAACACCTTAGGGAATGCTTGTACACCAGGTGTATCCCAATGTGAAAGTACACATCCTGGAAGTCGAGGGAAGCACATTAATCTTTTTGATCTAGGGAGGGGATGACTGAAGTCCGATATCAGCTGATGCCCATCTTCTTGGGGGTGAGAAAGTACTTGGAAAAGAATCCTCTTCCGCTCTGCAGATGGAGAACCTCCTCTATCGCACCCAGAACAAGGATGCATTGAATCCCCAGTCGAAATCGCTCCCATGGGAAAGGTCCCTGAAGATGACTGAAAAGGAAGGTGTATGGGAGGGAAGGAAGAGGAACTCTGGACTACCTCCAATACTTAGCAGTCTGAAATAATGTTGGACTAGCATGTTAGAGAAGAGACAGAGAATTGCCAAAAGGAGGAGAAGGCAAAAACTGTGGAACACACTGTCCTTGGGCACCAATAAAATTTGCTGCCTGCCCAATTCCTAAACAGTATGGTACAACTGAGAGGTGCCCTCCCCCAAGCAAACTTTCTGCTTGAGGACCTCTGTCTACAGCCCAAGCACTCAGGCAGCTTATGTTGGTAGGGCAACTGTAGATAATAAGGTTGGGACCTAAAGTGCCTCCTCCTAGAGCCTGGGTATAGACACCCAGAGATCTGAGGGTAGCCCTAGAGTCCTTGAGGGATCTCATTGCCTCATCCGTCTTGTCATGGAACAGCGAGCAGATCATGAACAGCAGATCCTCTATAGTTGTTTGTAATTCCTTAGATACACATGCCAAGGCCAGCTACAAGAAACAGCACATCATGATCTCTGCCGCCATTGCCGTGTGTCTGCTGCATCCAGGGCCACCTGCAACACAGTTCTGGCCACCAAACATTCCTCAGCCAGGATAGTCTGGAAATCAACCCTCTATTCTTGCAGCAGCTTGTCAATAAGCCATTGTAAGGCTCACCAGTTGATGTGGCCATATTTTGACAAGACAGCCTGGTAGTTCAAGATCCTCTTTTGGAGGCTCAAGGTGGAGTAAGATTTCTGATCCATCAGGGAGAGGGGCTTCACTTCCTTATCCTTGGGCATTGATTTCTGGTGTCTTTGGAGGGTTCTTTCATTGGCCACTATTACTACCAGGGACCCTGGTATCACTTGATACCATAGAACTTTTCATATCCAATAACCAGGACCAAATACTGTCCGCCTGCTCACTTTGCCATAAGGCTTTTGCAGGTTCCAACAGTCCTTTACTGATTGTGTTGATAATCAATAATTAATGACCAATTTGTCAATAATCAATAGCCAATAATCAATAGCCAATAATCAACTATTTTAATTGCTATTATATATTTAATGAGTTATGGCCTCTCGATTTTCCCTTTT